ATCCTATGAATTCTTGGTATTACGGATAGACGCGGCTGACTATAGTTAGTTGGCTGACAGTAGGCCTGTTTTATCATAGACGTGGTCCATGTAGCAAAGGCTTGACCATGAGAATTACTCAGGGGCTTTAGTCTCGAGTTAGTCTCCTAGAAGCAGAATGTGAGAAATAATGCATCGAGTAGCACAAATGGGGTTGTAGGAGTCGAGTGAAATACTTAAAGAAGTGAGATAGCAGACGGATTGTATATGGCAAGAGGGAGACTCTGGTAAGACCTATGGAAGGAGGATGCAAAACAATATGGCAGACTCTGATCAACATTACCAGCATAGGTGTCGAGAATTCTCACGAAAGCCGGTCAAAAGGACACATTATACCACATTTAAATAGGTAAATAAAAAATTATGATAGTGTACGTGATACGAGAATATAGGATTGGTGATTACACCAGGGAGAAGGGGACATTGTTCAGCAAAAAAATGATAAAAGGATCAGCTTCACTTGTCCCTCTAACGAAAAGGTGCTAGGCTCTCGTTCGTCATATGACGAACATCGTCAGAGCAAGGTATCATCGTCACAACCAAATTCAAGCTAACGAATCAAGAAAACTAACCGACAAATCCCTAAAAAGCCTCTTTGGTCAGGCATAAAGTGATTTGGTTAGTTACGGTCAAATGTAAACCTCTAAGCCTGAGAGTGTCTACCTCTGTATATGTATGCGCCTGCCTGTGTTCGCTTATGTACAAAACCAGCAATGATGACTCAAAGTAATTAAGACAGCAAAAGTAACATCTGATTTCGACCATCAAAGTGTGATGACTACTATCTCCCCCTTTCTAGATATATATTATAACCATCACTCCGATTGTGCAGGGTCGGAAAGACATCAGGTTATGTTAATAAGCCTTTTTTTGGTCTTAATGCAAGAGAAAAAGAGTTAGGTAAAAGTACAGAGAAATTACTATAATTAGAAAAAAGACAAGAGTCGCCTACTTCTTACTTATATTCTTGCCGGTATTCCTTACATTCAATGTATTTTCTATTCGGTTGCGAAAACGAGGTCAAACAACTTCTATACAACGATAGGAGATTGCGACCACACTATCTTGGTATTCATACCTTAGGCAAAACTATTATAGTAAATCGAAACGAATGAGAATGCTTGTGTCATGTTATTCTACTTTTTCATTGCACGTAACAAAATAAAGCATTTGAATTTTAATACACATTGATGCAGGATTTATATGTAGTAAAAATTCCACTACGCACGCATTTTACCATACAAATAGAATCTGATCGATAGATTTCGCTTCACTAAAATCGAAATGCCGTGTACAGAGTAGGCTCGAAAAGCAAAAAAGTAAATGTGGCGAACTAAAAGAAAATATATAATTTCTTTTTATCTAATTAAATTCAAATTCATTCTTTTGGAGTAGGTCAAGAAGCAAATGGAGACACATATAAACGTACGCAGTCTTGGTAATAAATCAGGTTTTGAGTAGACTAAATTTATAGCTAAAGAAGATTCTATAACACAGATAAAACAGTTCATTTTAGATGCATTTGAAAATAGTCACTCCAAGGATTGTATAATAGTTAGGCCAAGTAATAGTTAAAAAGTGTAATCAAGCAAAAGCTCATAATAGTTAATCAAGTAAGAACTAAGCATTATAGTAAATGGCCCGTCCACTTGTTCATTATAGAAGACTGATTAGATCTAAAGATTATAGGAAACAAGAGTTGCAAAGGTTATAACACATTCTGAATTAACAGTTGGCAATAGTATCATGTAAAAAGATAGCTTTATGTGAAGTACCTAAATAAAATAATAATGCAAATCCAATATGGCTCAAAGCTAAAAAATGGAAAGGTGAGAAAGCATTAAAAACAACTATTAAGAGTAAGTCTCTAAAAATGTAGTTTAATGCTTGAGAGTTTACTGTGTGATTATATCGGTCCTCGACAAGATTAATTTACCTGATGATAAGAATGAACTATTTTACATTCAATGGTATTATATATGAAGACGAGCTCACCATTCCAATCTCTTTTAGCTGGTATGCACATAAATTTGTGAAATAATTGAACCTGTCATAACAGCTATTGAAAGTGACTGATAACTTCATAGCAACTTAGTTAACTGGTGAAATAGAAGATAGAAATCGGAGACGCCCTTAATATTTTCAAGTATTATGACAAAGCCAGAAGGGCGGGTAGTGTAAAAATTATCATCACAACTACAGGTTGAAGATCGAAGCCAAGATCAAAAGGATATGAAGCCTGAAACTGCTAAACAATGAACGTTGGGAAGGAAAATCGAAATAACTCAGACTCTTCGCAGAAGAAGTTATCTGGCGAAGCTAAAACAATTAAATATATGGGTCATAGCAAACAGAAGGAAATATGGGAATTATTAAAGGAAAATGAAAGAGATGGATATGTATGTTTTGGTAAATGTACCCTCCTGAAAAGTGACCCGATTCTTCATCCTCAAATAATGAATTTAAACGTTTGAGCGATCATGGAGGAAGAACACTTACTCATAAGTACATATAAAGTTATGCAAAACGATCGCGCAGCGACATATCCCTAGCCTTTCTCGAAACCACTGCCGATCCCGTTACTTTAAACACGAAGTTCAAATGAAACACTGGCTCTAGAACAAGGACCATTTTTAAGCAACACTCATCAAAACTTGTGCCCCATGATAAAATCTCGCTACCATATCGAGCCTACCCTCTTGACTAATCAGACACTGTAAACACAAATCACTCAATCATTTTAAGCAGGAAGAACCCAGAGCTAGTTGCTGCCCTTCTTATCTTTATCTCTTCCTCAATATTTTTCCTAAATTCAACATCTGCACATCAACACCTCTTATTCATTCATTGTCTTTCACACTGTAGCTCGAAACATCCTGGTACTAGTTTGTAACTTACTGAACTCTATACAAATAATTGACATCGGTTGTCTTCTCTCTGGCGAGGTTGGATTAGCTAGACACATTCTACTGAAATCAAATTCCCACAACCGTAAACATGAGAAAAAAATTTAGGAACGGGGCTGAAAACCAATTAAGACGTGAATGAAAGACTACTACCACAAGGAAAATAAAGGTAGATGAAGATGTGAATGTATTTAGTCAAAGCAACAGAATTAATAGTAGACCGAAGAGAGAATAATTAATTATGAAGATCAATCTTTAGACAAAGTTGAAGGCCAATAAACAGCAAGTTAAAATCTGGATCCGAAATATAACATAAAATATATAAAAAGTATCGTCATAAAAAGGCGATTAAAAAATAGAAATGAAGAAAGAGGTATTACAATGAGCTGAATCGAAGCAAGGAATCAGGCTAACATTTTTCGGAGTGGGTCGAGAGGGAAATACAGAGATGAGAATTCATAGCTATTTTGAAAAGTTGCCTTAGGGATAAGAAGGTCCGTGTTCAGATATATTGCATATCTATCTAAAAGTTGCAGTAATGGTGTCGGTGATTATGTTTAATAATGGAAATAACCAACGAAGCCAATGTGACCAAACACACAAGACGAACAGTACAAAAATGAATAATTGTTAGATCAGATTGAAATGATAGACGATGATGCGAGAGAATGAGATAAAAGAAGAAGTGAATGATTGGATGATGAGAATTCCACAGTAAAAGCCCTAAAGTTAAGGTCAAAACAAACAAGCAAGAACAAAATAATCTAGACAATGTCAAAAAAGATGAAAACTATAAACTCAAGCAAGATAAGAAGAAAGCGAGACTACCGTGTAAGTGATGCCTTATATTCGAGGCCGGCAATGCTATTAAATATTTTTTCGTATATAAACAGATTTTCGAGACTACCGGTAAATCTTTTATATGAGATTTATTCATCCTATTGCGTTTAAGGTGATTAAGAACTGGTAGTAGAATTTTTCCACAATGAAATATGTAGAGTTGATATTTCCATTGAATTTCGCATGGGCTTGCTTTCCCAAAAGTTGTTCTTATTAATGGTGGACTGGATTTTCGAACTCGCCTAGGTCTTATCAACACTCCTCAGCGGGAGTAGAACCGTTACAATGCAGCATATGAGCTCGACACATTAACCACTTAGCTAAATTGTCACGGGTGCCCTTGGGTCAGAGAGCAGATGCAAATTTCAAGGAAGGCCAGGATTTTTTTCGAGGTGGCTGAACGGTTAACGTATCAAGCTCACATCCTGTATTGCCATGGTTCGACTCCCGCTGAGGGTGCTGATAAGACCTAGGCGAGATCGAAACCGCAGTCCACCCTGGATGAGAACAACTTTTGGGAAAGCAAGCTTATGTGAAATTCAATGGAAACGTCAGCTCTACGCATATCATTGTGAAAAAAATCTACTACCAGGCCTTCATCAGCTTGAATGTATTGGAAAAACCGAGGAAAATAATTGGGACACAAGGAAGATTTAGAATAAAGATGGAGCTATCCGTCTATTTACTAGGGCTATTTAAAGCACTCAGACCAATGATGCTTGAAGCAAGTAGTAAATACTGGAAGTAAAGATAGTATTGTGATTAACTCGTATTTAAAATCGAAATTAAATCAGTTCTGATCTAAATAATATCAGATTATTTGCAGCAGGCATGAAATATAGGATATTCTAAATGAATAATAAGACGAATACTATGAAGAAGAGCTGGGTTTCGAAACGAAGACTAGTCAAACCTACCAATAGAAGAGGTAGGCCACAAGCCGACAGGAGAGGCAGCAAATGGCGGCTGGGGTGCTACCACCATGGGCATTCTGGGAGTAGAGGGCACAAGGAAGGGATTGTTAGGGGCAAAAGACGAGGGTATCTGCGATCGTTCAACTGGCAGCGAAGGCGAAACGAAGCAGATCGCCTGAGAGGATGAGAAGTTGATCGACCTATCAGTTGGGTTGTAGGGTACAAGGGCGAAAGGACTCTGATTTGCATGCAAGGGGAGTTGCTGAAGAGGAAATTTAGTCTGAAAAAGTTCTGTGGTGAGTGTAAATTTAAAAAAATTTTAATAGCTTATAATGAGGGTTATACGATAAATGAAGAAGCAAATGAAAGTATAGCAGTAAAAATCTACGAGTAGAGGTATTTATTTCAATTGAAGATCCGTTACAATTGGTTAAAGAACCACACTCATCGCCAAAATTATGTGCGTACCACAAGCAAGAAACGTCCGAGCGGCAAAACTTTCGTTCAAGAAATGGACGCATTATTGAGAGTAAGCAGTTTTCCTTAATAAGAATCTTAGAATATAAAGTCTTCGTAGCCTAAAAAAAGTGATGTTTCGAAGAATTCTTTACGTGTCCTGTATTAGCCAGATATTCAGGGAGTTCTGATTTTTGGACTCATAGACTGTTAGAGGTTTCACATTCTGATAATCTCTTCCGGATGGGCTGGCAGATGCCCCCCTATTACTTAATTACCATAAAACCTCATAACTTCTTAATCTAGAAAGGTGTAAAAATAATCGAAAATAAAGTATGACAGAGGAAAGTGTTAGTTTCTCTATATGCGTAATTCTTATGGTCCCCTTCCTCAGTAGTTCATCTGAAAGAACGACAATATTTCAGGAAGAGTTCCAAGTAAAAATCTTTCTCATTCTATAGAGGAATATTAAAAAGTAATTATTTACTAAGAATAGTGAATAATTATATGTAATTAATATATCCCACAATCAACCGAGTTCATAGTCCCATATATTTCCGCCTGCTAAACACAATCTCTTATTATCGGTAAACTCATAATTCTTAATATGGCCTCGTACGCATGATTAGTAGGATGAGGAAACCCGTGTCTATTATGCACGCATCTGCACCCAACCTACCACTAGGACATTCAGAAATGGTAGCTTATCTAGCTATTCTAACCCATAGTAAATTAAATAGTCCCATCTGATCAATCCATTAGCTAAATGAATTCTTGCAATCTATAATTTCCGTTTTTCAAACAGCAAAGTAATCGCTCATATACCAATTAGTTTGGTACTAGAAGCTACTCGAGGCAATCAAATCTCCAATTGAGCCATGCAGTCACTAGCAAGAAAATAGACTAAACAAGAACCCGTAGCTAGACCACACGCTTAGATTTAGCTGTACTTTTTGATGCATACATACATACAAACATACATACATGCATTCATTCATACAGACATGCATACATATAAGGATGCATTATAAGGCATAAAATAAAAATTTAATTCCTACAGGTGTAACTTTTAACAGATTAGTACAGACCTCCAGGGAGCAAGCCAGCTCCGACACCTTCAGTATTTCGGAATTGCTGGGCTGCTAATCCGGGCCCCGAAGGTGATTCAGGCTCAGTATCTCCAGTCGTAAGGCTGCCTCCTGCGAGATTGACTGGTCTGGTATCCCAGGGATTAGTTTCCCACGGACTGGTAGTGAATTGAGACTGCTGTAGAGTGGCGGGTTGGGATGAATTAAAATCGTTGATGAGCAAGTCGTCCAGGTTGAAC